CCCCCAAAGCCCCCACAGCCCCTCTACTGGGGCTGTCCCACAGCCCCCCCATTACCCCATTGCCCCCACTGATCCCATTCATTAACACCACAGCCCCCCAACTGCCCCATAGCCCCTCTGTTGCCCCCCATCATCCAATCAGACCCCACTGTCTTCAGTTGACCCCATTGTTCCCACTGACCCCATTGTTCCCCATCGATCCCATTGACCCCACGGTCCCTTGTTGTTCCCTACTGATTCCATTGTCCCCCATTGACCCTCACTGACCCCATTGATCCCTGTTGACCCCATTGACCCCACTGACCCTCACTGACCCCATGGTCCCCATTGGCCCCACTTGACCCCCCCCAGGTCCTCATTGTCCCTCATTGACCCCATCAACCCTCACTGATCCCATTGTTCCCCACTGACCCTCATAGACCCTACTGATCCCGTTGTTCCCTGTTGACCCCATTGGCCCCATAGAGCTCACTGACCCCATTGCTCCCCATTGACCCCACTGTTCCCCACCGACCCCATTGCCCACTTAACATCCCCCTTAAGGCTCCTCCCCACTCCTCTCCACCAATCACCTCCCATCTCATTTACATAACCCCGCCTTCTCAATGTGGGTGTGCTCTCAATTCAACCCGGCGCACAACGGGTTAACATCGAGCCGGACCGCACCCGTGGGCGTGGCAGAGCGAGGAGAAGGCAGCCTATTGGCGGAGCCTAGTTGGGGGCGTGGCCAAGAGGAGGCCAATCCCTATAGGCGAGGCAGAATCTAGAAAAGGGCGTGGTCTAGCATGGGCGGGGGCGTGGCTGCCGCGTAGCTCCGCCCCCCTCGGCGGCGTCGCGCGGCTCTGACGTCATCATCCGGCGTTCGGACGATGGTGGCGGGCGCCTTTCCTATCGCCAAGCTGCTGACCCTCGGCGCCCGCCAGCTCAGCCGCCCGCTGGCCGCCCGCATCAAGGCCGGGGCCCGCGCCAGCCCCTTCTTCCGCACCTACATCTGCCTGCCTCCCGCACAGCGTGAGCGCTGAGGGGAAAGGGGGGCGGCCAATGGGAGGGCGAACTGGAAAGGGTGCAGCCAATGGGAAGAGAGAGTGGGCGGGATCGAGGGGGGGGAAGACTGAGGGGGAGGCGGGGAGGGGAAGGGGTGCGGCCAATAGGAGGGCGAGGCGATGGGGAGGCGGCCAATGGGAGCACGCTGGGGGCGGGCTCAGGGAGGTGAGGGCGGGAACTGCGGGAGGGGCTGAGGGGGCAACGGAGGGCGGGGCGCTGCGGGAGGGACAGGCAATGGCGGTGAGTGACGGCGTCGGGGACCAATGAGAGGTGGGGGATGAGCTGAGGGCGGCAACGGAGTGCGATATCCGCGAGGAGACGAGCGAACGGGACGAGCGGAGATGTGTGGCGGCCCGCAGTGTATCACTGGGTGGAGATGCGAGCCAAGATGCGGATCATGGGCTTCCGCGGCGCCGCCGTCAAACCGCTGAACGAGGAAGCGGCCGCGGAGCTGGGGGCCGAGCTGCTGGGGGAAGCCATCGTGTTCGGCGTGGGGGGGCTGTGCATCTACCTCGAGTACGCCCGGCAGGCGGGGCAGTCGCGGCGACGAGAGGAAGAGCAGGCGGCGGCCATGCGAGACATGGCGGCGGCGCTGGAGCGCATGCGCGGCGAGCTGGACGCGCTGCTCGCCGAAAGGGGCGGAGTGACGTCGAGCCCCGCCCCCGTCACGAGCCCCGCCCCCAAGGCAAACCCCGCCCCCACGGCACAGCTCGTTCCCGCCCATTAAAGCGCCCCCGCGCTCTTCCCGGCGGCGGGCTGTGAGAAGGGGGCGTGGCCGCGGCGCGGGGGCGGAAGGGGCGGGGTTAATAAACGTAGGGGCGTGGCTTTGTCCATACATGGTTGTCGATAGCTGCTCGAGGGGCGTGGCCAAAGCCTTTTCTGGGCGTGGCTTGGACGAATCAGGTTCTATTCGCTGAGCACGGTTTTGGGGCGTGACTTAAGGGGGGCGGTGCTAAAGATGCCGTTGGTTTGGATGAAGGGGCGTGGCCAATAGTGGGCGTGGTCCCAAGGAGGCGTGGCGTTGTGAGGCTCAATGTGTTTGAATGGAGGGCTCGGGGGCAGGGCCAAGGACGGTGGGCGGGGTCTCGAGGGGGCGGGGTCTGGGTGAAGGGGATC